GACTTTCTTGTCAACCATATATATATATTTAAAAAAACAAACCTTTGTATTAATTTTAACCCTATAAAATTAAATGTCAAGCAATCCACCCTATTATGCCAAGTAAACTTTTTTAGACTTGGAATATTTAAACATCTATCAAGTCTTTACTTCAAATAGGTAGGTTGAACTAATACAACCTTGCATTTGAATAGCCTTAATATAAATTTATTTTCCATTGATATATACATATTAAAATTTATTATCTGAATTTCGTTCTAATACGAGTGTGTGTTTTATATAAATTTGTAGAGCTTAACTGTAAATTTTTAGGATTTTTTCTAGTGGACTAAGTTCTTGTAAACATTTACTTTGTGAGGTTTTTTTGTTTATACGTTTAGTACTTAAACTATTAATTTTGGTCCGTTGTAGTACCTAAACTTAAAAAAAATTAACATTAAATTTTGAACAAGAGTACTAAAATTAAACTTTAAATATGATTTTAAAAAATCAAAATGAAGTAAAACTACTATTTCAGGTATTAAACACGTAATTTACCCTTATTTTTAATGAATTTTTTTTCTTTCAATCAAGTAATAATAAAAAAATATAACCGTGCTAAGATAAAATTCTAATAATTAATTCTAATAATTTATAAATATATAAAATATAATAAATTTGAAGACAAATCAAATAAAATTTCAGAAAAAAATGAAATTCAATATAATATCATGATTAAGAAGTGATGATGGCCCCATCTGCATCATGGTAATGACTTTCACCACATTTTTTTATGCCCAGAAAACTATTATCAATTGGACAGACCGGTAACTTATTGGCTATTTGACTTGTTAACTTAAAGGACCAAAAGCAACCGAATTGAATGCCAATTCACAGAATTTTAAATTATGCCACGGTAGTTGTCTGTATTTTATTAGGCCACCTCCTTATCCTTTTTGGTTCCTTTTTCCGTTTGTTCTTTATTTTTTTATTTTTTTATTGTTAGTTTTAACTTAATTTAATAATAATAATAATAATAATGTTTCTCGTGATCCTTTCTGATAAAGGATATCATAACTATAGGTATTTGTGGACTTTCGGTGCATGTTTTTAATTTAGTTTTTTTCTCGGTCTATTATTTTACATGAATCCATGGTTGGTTGTGTTCCTGATGTTTGGTTCCTCTGTTCGTTTGTACAAGATAATTCGTTGGTTATCGCTGATATGTGCCGGATGAGATTGTCGCTAAGGGGAGATGACTTTTTCTGTTGGTCATTTTGGTTCTTCTTCAAGTTTCTCTCATCCATGTTTGATGCTCGGAGCCGTTGGTGTGATCAGTTTATGTGCGTCGTTGCTTCACTTGTTAATGTTTTTTGTTTATCAGGCTATCACTAAGCGATCATTGTTATATTTTATTTATGATAGTCACAACTGTATTTGTTCAGTCTGTAATTGACAAGACGTTTGTTGATACAACTTTCGATAAATAAAATATCCTGATTATTTAAGAAAATGATGTAAATTCCTAATTAATAAGGTAGGAGTGACTTTACTATATAAAAGTATAGACAATAAATAATCGCCAAACTTCCCTTGCACATTTAGACATATATTTTCACTATAAATGATACATACAAACTATATCACTTGCAATATATACATATTTTATTAGGGTTAACTACAAGGATGGTCACTTATATTTGTATTTTATCCACTATTTATCACTGATTTTAAAAAACATAAGATATAGTCACTTTCGTTTTTATTTAATTAAGATGTAGTCACCCCGAATTAATTGTCGTTAACAACAGTTAAATATTTTGATATAATCACACATTTGGTCCATGTTATTTACATATTCTCTCAATTTAGTCATACTTTTAATAAATTAAAATAAATTTAATCCTTCAATCAAATGATGTCACATATCATGCTGTGTGTCACCATTCGATTGGAAGACTAAATTTATTTTAATTTAATATATTTATTTCCACCAATCAAAGAGTGACATGTGTCACCCTCGGGTTGAAACAAAACACATGAAAGCAAATAGAGGCAAAAAATATTCAAACCTTGGTCACTTAAGAAACTAGACATATATCCAACCATGAGGCCAAGACCATTGTTTGGTCTAAAGTAGACAACGTGATGTATATATTTTGTATCTTAGCGTATAAATACTTAAATACGTAATATGTTATATATATTAACTTAAAAAATATTTTTTATATTAACTTATTAAATATATATTTTATTAACTTAATTTAAAAATATTTTATTTTTTACTTTCATTTAAAAATATATATATTTTATGTTAAAATTTATTTAAAATAATGACTAAATTGAGAGAATATGTAAATGACATTGACCAAATGTGTGATTATATCAACTATCGCATCACATATTATGTTAATTGTTGATCACATATTAATTAAATAAAAACGAAAGTGACCATATCTTATATTTTTGAAATCAATGATCAAAAGTTGATGAAACAAAAATATAAATGATCATCTGTGTAGTTAACCCATTTTATTAATATACTTGCCATGCGAAATACTAATATATTAATGGTGTTGGATTCTGGTAACTCGAATTAACCCCAAATTCACGATTATATATGTAATTATACCTATAAAACACTAAAATTTCCTTTTTATTATTACGATTTTGCTGAAGTCAAGAGACCTAAACAATGATTGTTTTGCATTAGGGATAAAACTTCGACCGACTTAAAGATAATAATGTAATTTTTTTAAAAAATATTATTATTTTAATTAAATTTTTATTTTATATCTAATCGGATTTATACTCTAAAAATATAAGTCAAGTCAAAATCATGTATAGAATATACATTTTCGGGTCATGCGAAGAATACATATTTTCCGATCTAGTCGACCAAAAATCCAATTGACTCAACCCGTTGCCATCCCTTCATCAAATACATGGGCTGTTACTTTCCAATTGAATCGGCAACAACAGCAGTGGGCTTAATGTCCCTTAACCTTATTATGACATCAGTTTAATACCCGCAAGATGACAAGAAGTGATTGTTATTTGGGTTCAACCTTGTACTGTTTCGATCCGAATTTTTAATTGATATGTTCAGATGATAAACTCTAACGATTATAGTAATTTATTTTATTATTATAATATCAAAATAGAATTCGAATTATAAAATAATTATTATAATAACTCTAAAACAGATAAGAACTTGAGCTGTTGACGTAATGACAATTGACAAACTTATATTATTGGTACACGTGTTATCACCAATTTTTCAACGTGTGCTTATCCAGCCCTGATTACTTCCACACAAGCTACGGGACAAGAGATACCTCCAAATGTGTATCCATTACCCACCACCACGAATCTCTCTCCTGGTCGAGACTGACACACTCATCGCGTCAGTATGAGATATTTTTCTTCATCTAAAGCATTTTTAAGCTTCCATGGTGAACAAGTCCCAGTTTGTGTACGAGGAAAAAGAAGAAAAAAGGAAATGGGTAAAGGAGGAGAATCTCATGAAGAAAACATGGCTGCATGGCTTGTGGGCATCAACGCCCTCAAGATTCAGCCATTCAAGCTCCCTCCTCTTGGTATTGTTTTTCATTATGGTTTTATTATAACCCTTTTGTTCTTTTTGGTTCTTATATATTGATTGGTTGGTTACTTGTCTTTGTGTTCTGGGTAAAATATGTGTTTTAAGGACCCCATGATGTCAAAGTTGGGATGAAAGCTGTTGGCATCTGTGGAAGTGATGTTCACTTTCTCAATGTATCTTGTCTATCTGAATATAAAACTATGAGAAGTCGGAATGTTTATTATTAGTATTTGTTTGTAGACGTTGAGGCTTGCGGATTTCATAGTGAAAGAGCCGATGGTGATCGGGCATGAGTGTGCTGGGATCATCGAAGAGGTTGGGAGTGAAGTCAAGAATTTAGTGCCTGGTGACCGAGTGGCATTGGAAACAGGGATCAGCTGCTGGCGGTGCAATCCTTGCAAGGAAGGTCGATTCAATCTATGCGATGAGATGAAGTTCTTTGCCACTCCACCTGTCCATGGTTCTTATGTGTATGTTGGTTTTCAATGTAGGTGGTGCATCCTGCAGATCTGTGTTTCAAGTTGCCAGACAATCTGAGTTTGGAAGAAGGGGCTATGTGTGAGCCCTTGAGTGTAGCGGTTCATGCTTGTCGCCGAGCTGATATCGGTCCGAAACCAATGTGTTGATCATGGGGGCAGGACCTATTGGTCTAGTTACAATACTGGCAGCTCGTGCTTTCGGGGGACCTCGAATTGTCATTGTAGATGTGGATGAACATCGGCTATCTGTTGCTAAGGATCTCGGTGCCGATGGAGTTGTGAAAGTTTCAACTAGTATGCAGTTCATAACATAACAGCCTTGAAATTCGTTTCATTTCTAATCCTTTTCGGATCAATTCTGATTCCATTATATATCAAAGGACATACCTGAAGAAATCGAAAGGATAAGTAAAGCGATGGGAGCGGCAATCCATGTAAGCTTCGACTGTGCAGGCTTTAACAAAACGATGTCGACTGCTATGACCGCCACTCGAGCCGGTGGCAGGGTTTGCCTGGTCGGATTGGGACATAACGAGATGACCGTCCCACTCACTCCGGCTGCTGCAAGGCACTAATTTCAGTGATCTTTTTGCCATGTCATGTTCCTTCCAACACTCATTGGCCGATGGTCCAACTGCAGGGAGGTCGATATTATCGGAATACTCCGGTACAAGAACACTTGGCCTTTGTGCATTGAGCTTCTAAGAAGCTGGAAGATCGACGTGAAGCCTCCGATAACTCACAGTTTCGGGTTTTCTCAAGAGGAGGTTGAAGAAGCTTTCGAAACCAGTGTCCGTGGTGGCAATGCCATTAAGGTTATGTTTAACCTGTGACTTCAGCCAGATTAAACATACTACTTGTAAAATATGTATAATTCGAATAATTACAAATAAAATCAATCACTACTATGTATAACTGAATCAATAACGGGAACACTAGCATCTGCCTATTTATTTATTTGCTGATAACAATTTTCTCAGTTAATTCATGCTCTTAAAGAGTTTTAAATAACATAAAATGTCTCAAATACAGAACTCAAAATCTGCTAACTCAATTTTCCATCCCAAACTCCTGTAAAACTCCCCACTCAATTTGGCACATGACTACTAATCATTCTCGACGAATCGTATTCGTCGGTGATCAGGCTGCTGCACATTTTCTGTGTTATTTCTATGAACTTTATGGCACACAATAAGATGCTCAGTGCTAGTAAGCATTCCACCAGGAACGAAGAATTATTTTCTCCAAACCGTGATTGCTCCCGCAAGCTCGAAAACCTCCCCGGAAGGATGAGCAAAATGAAATAGTACCGCCATAAATACAGTCTGATGAATATGTTATAAAATGGTGCAAGGCATCAGGATGTGGCAACTGGTTCTGCCCATTTCCACACTTTAAAACCAGTTCCATCGCCGGTGAAAAACAGGCCACCAGGACCTACTTCAATGGCTTTAATCTCCTGATTAGCAAAAATTTTACCCCTCTCGGAAAACCTTGAATCATGAGGAAAGAAAAAAATGATATCCGCATAAGCAGCTTGAAAGGAAAGAAGAGGCGCAAAAACAAAATGTGCACTAAGCTAGATGCAAGTCTCTGTTAAACCGTACGAGGGCAGATCAAAGAGCCGAACGTAATTGCAGTTGCATGCGCACAGCAAGACAGGCTTTGATTCCAAGTCGGGCATTCCACGAAGATTAAGCACACCCTGGAAACAGAAGGCAACAGTTCAAGATTTAAAACATTTCAAAAGATCCTAGGAAACTAAATTGAAACACTGATAGAATTGGGACCATTTGGTTTGTGTTTCACTTGAAAATCTACCCGAAAATGCATCTAATACCAACTACCAGAATCATGATTTTTGTAAAACAACCCATGGGTGTCCAGATACGAGGGAAGGAGAAAAGCATCGGCTAGAACACAATTTGGTAAAATCAAAAAGCCTATCCAAACAACTCTGCCCTATAAGATACCTTAAAAAATGCAAATGCAGAGCATAAATTCTGTCCCCCAAACACACAAAGCAAAACTAAGTAGCATTTTGTTCCATCAATCATCTTCGCTTTCAATAACAACCCACCAGTGTCCCGGCCTCGATTCTTAGGTCATCGTCATCTCTAACAACAAACACAAACTAAAAGCAGAAGCCTATTGATGATCTCCTATAGTCTACATTGAGTTTTCCCTACTCCCATTATGTCCTCAAACCCCTTTCCCCTTGCAATTAATTGCATTAGATCAAAGTACAGCATGCATGCTATATTAATACAACATACATTTTCTTCGTTGTGAGTGTACGTTACTTCCAGGTTCCCATTCTCAGTAGCTACCCACACCTGCAAAAAGTAAATGAATAAATCCCAAAAAATACCTTTAATGCAAGGAAAATCTAACAAATAAAAATGATAAAAATAACCACAAAATAACACTAACCTTTATGGTTTTGTCCAATGAACAAGACAAAAGAAACTGATCCCAGCAAAGCAAGGACATTACAACATCATTATGCTCTGTCAGAGTCTGTATACACTGCAAAGTTTCAAGACTCCAGACCTGAAAAAAAACCAAACAACATGCTATTGATGGTGATTCGAAACCATTAAGTATCTCAATTAGCAATATCAAACAATTTTAACTTAAAACGATCTTACCTTTATAGAATGGTCCATGGAGCCCGAGTAGAGTCTATTAGCTCCAACGATTAACGATACAACAGGACGGGTATGACCCTTAAGTGATGCCACTGGTTCAAAGGCGTTTGTGACAGCATTAAATTTCCATACCAATATACCATCCTGCAGAAAATAGACAGTCTTTTAAAGATCAGAAACAAAGATCTAGAGCAATAAAGAGATATGGTCCGTGAAATAACATAAACAAGTTCCCAAGTGAGAGTCATCCAGCAAAAATTTCAATCGACTCCCAAAGATCCACGACTTTTATAAAAGCTCGGGGTTCATCTATTCTTTCAAGGAAAACAGTAATTCTATAATTTTTAAATGAGTATTAAAAACATTACCTGTGTGCCAGCGAAGAGCAAATCATTAAAGACAACCATAGCATGAACTTGCCCAGCAGGTCCACTAAGAGTAAGGTCTTGGTTAGTTTGGGTGTTCCATACCTGCAATATGATTGTTGTTGAGTTAAGACCGGTAATGGAGGAATAATCAACGTTCTTCCAAGTTTAAATCCAATAAAAATGTGAGAAAGAAGAAACAAACTGATAGAGATTTGCCTGAACTTTACTTTGACAGCATTTGGTAAGCCAACAAACAGCCAAGGACCTTCACTGATCATGCAACCAACTTCACCACCAAGATTAATCACACCCGTACACTACACAAAATGCCATACAAATAATCAGAATATATATACACACATATATAATTGACTTCCCCCCAAGATATAAAACCTAAATTAAAACAACCAAAATAAAAGGAAAAGGAACAAAGTTACACTAACCTGACCAGAGTTAGTATCCCAAGCCCTCAAAGTCTCATCTTTACTTACCGTGAAAAGCTTATCCATACCTACTGGCAACACAATTCCACTAACAAGCTGTTCGCAAAACAAACAAATCATCATTATCATTAGATTCAAATACTTTGATACTTCCAATAATTAACACCAGAAAAAAAATAAAAAAAAGGAGCTTACTTTCTGGTGCCCATCGAGGTGATTCAACATACTAAAACCTTCCCCAAAACTCCATGAATGTAAAAACTTACACTTATCTCCGTAACTACAGTTACCTCGCACCCAATAATTACATACTTTCTCCGTTTTTCTAACCACCTTATTAGCTCCCATTCTCCCCCAACTATTATGATGATGGTTATTTTGGAAGTTCGAGCCTCGTCTGGGGGGCTGACCCGAGAATCCGTAATCATCGGAGTACCGTTTGGGGGCACCCGATCCGTTATCGGTGGCGGCGGAGCCCGAAGGATGGGACGATTCGCTGTGCAAGAAAGGGCAAGGTAAACGGGTGCACTTACCGGCCCGCCAATGGAAACAGACTTTTTGGTTTTTGGAGGAGTCTGTTCCGGGCCGGTTGTAGACGCGCCTGTTGCCGCCGCCGTCTAAATCCATAATCGCTTAAAATTAGTGAGAGTAACGACGGATCGTATAGATGAAGCTTCAGTTTTAACCGAGTTTGGGAATAGGAAGTTGAAGAGAAAATATCCGTGGGAAATAATATGACCACGAAATAGATTGCCGGAATTGTGAATGAACTGAGTCCAATATTAACGGCGGATGATACACCGATCAGAAGGATGACGCAAAGAGTACGGTTTAGGGGTAGGAATATGCCTGCTGCCCGGCAGATCTCATTAATGTTCTAATTCTCAATGGTAAATAGTTATAGTTAGTAAGAAGATTTATATTTACGCAAGTAAAATACTTAATTGTTCTTTAAATAATTTTTTTAAAGTTTATATTGATTTTTTAAAAAATATCTTCCTATTTTATAATTTATGTTACTTTTATATTAAAATATATTTTAGAACTTAAAATTTAATTAAAATTAACTACATGAAAAATCACTTACTCATATTTTATTATTTTTTGTCATTGATTTCATTTTTTTAATGGAATGTCACTAATTTCAAAAATAATAAGATATGATCACTTTTGTTTTTATTTAATTAAGATATGATCACTCGAGTTAACTTTCGTTAACAGTAGTTAAATATTTTAATATAATTATACATTTGGTCTATGTTATTTATATATTCTTTTAATTTAATTATACTTTTAATAAATTAAAATAAATTTAATCCTCCAATCGAATGATGCCACATGTCATGCCACGTAGGGGTGAACGTTCGATTGAGCTGAGTCGACTAAAAACTGCGAGTTATTCGAGTTGATGAATCCTATTTTACAACTCGAAGTTGACTTGAAATTTTTTAAAGTCGATTCTAGTCAAAATTTCGAGTTTTTGTTTAAATTTAATTATAAATATTTATAATATGATATTATTTGATTCCAATTTAAATGATATTTTATAACCATATACAATACATGTGTACTTCTCCGTATTTTTTTTCATATGTGATATACATTTATGATACAGAGTCGAGGGACTCAACTAAAACTTGAAAATCAATCCACTAATTGCTAAAATTTTCGAGTTATTCGAGTTGTATGTTACAACTCGATTTGAACTTGAAATTTTTTCGAGTCGAATTTTGCTCACCCCTAAAGCCACATGTCACTATTCAATTGGAGAATTAACTTTATTTTAATTTAATATATCTATTTTCACTAATCAAAGCGTGACATGTAACCCCTTTGTTTGAAGGAAAACAAATGAAAGCAAATTGAGAGAATATTTTATTTAAAAGTATTTTATTTTTATTTTTATTTAAAAAATATATTTTATGTTAAAATTTATTTAAAAATATGATTAAATTGAAAGAATATGTAAATAACAAGGATCATATGTGTGATTATACCAACTATCACGTCACATATCATATCCTATTAATTGTTAACTGCATTTAACCCATGATGAGCACGTCTTAATTAAATAAAAACGAAAGTGACCACATCATAATTAAAAAAAACGAAAGTGATTATATCTTATGTTTTTGAAATCAGTGACCAAAAGCGGACAAAACATTAATATAAGTGATTTTTTATATAGTTAACTCTTTAATTAAATACAAGAGTGAGAAAGATCTTTCAATTTCAAAAAAAAAAATTATCGTTAATTACGAATTTAGTACATAAACTATTTATTTTGATTTGTTTTAATATCTAAACTTTTAAATTTTCAAAATCATACCTAAATTTAGTTTTTGTTTCATTTTAGTACCTCGTTCAAAATTTAACGTTAAGTTTTTAAAAAATTGAAAGTTTAGGTACTAAAACGAACCAAAACTGATAGTTTAAGTACTAAACGTGTTAAGCTTTTAACGGCGGGGGTACTAAAATGAAATGAAAACCAAACGTTAGGTACGATTTTGAAAAAATTAAAAGTTTAAGTACTAAAACAGACTAAAACTAATAGTTTATGTACTAAGACGGACTAAAACTAATAGTTCAATTCAGATCGACTCAAAATTTCATCAACTTGATTCAAAAAAATTTCAAATAAAGTTCAAACGATAATATAATATGATACTTATAAATTTGATTAACTCAAGTATTTTTCATTCAACTTGACTCGATTGAATATTCGCCTCTAGTTAGATTAACGAGCGAGGATCAATCTCTTGATTCAAAATAAATAATGAAATTATATTGTATTCGAACCGAATTAGTAAATAAAGTTGGAATAAAACCAACCACGTCTTATGAACTAACTATAAAGCAGATTGTGCCTCTAATGGCACGTATATCTTCACATAAGCTTCATCTTTAACAGTTTCAAGAAGAGTACACAAGTCACCAACCGCAAAAACTACTACTGCAGTTCGTTATAATAGTTACCATGTCTGAAATAACAAAGTCACTAGCTTCACAACATAGCCATTAGGTTAATATTATAACACATCAGATCGTTTGGTCTGGGGATTTGCTTTTTTAGGTGATGGGTTATTGTTGCTTTTTTGGGAGCTGAACCTAAAGTGCTTGATTATAATCTGATTGTTTCAAATTCTTTTGCAGATCCAGGCAATCTAATAGAGCTAAGATGAGTTTTCAGGTGTGCATTTAAGATTATGGTGTTCTGGGTTTTGATGTAGTCTTGTCATGATTTCTGGTACCGTGTTCTTCGAGGCAAGATTTGCTGTCAAAGTTCAACAACTACCCATGAAAGTCTTATGTTTAAGGAGTCCTGATCTCGAGTGTGGATCACCACATTAACCTCGTAAATTGTCAGGTCAGCACTGTAACGGTCAAACGACGAAAAAGATTAGTTAAATAGTCCTATTAAGTTTGTTTTTTAAGTTGGAGAATCACATTGAAAGAAAAAATAATATGAGGGCTACATTGATTTTCTCTCTCAAAAGTATATGAACCTTTAATGATTTTTTTGGCTAAAAATACATTAGGGTCTAAATTGTATGTAATTATATATTTTTTTAAAGTAATCTAGGACGATTATAATTACAATGTGTATAAATCAGGTTGGATTGCATTCGATTTTTGGGTAATAAATCAGGTGCACTTGGGCTGGATGTTTGTTTAGGTTATATCTAGTATAGGTTTAATTTGGGCTAATTTAGGGTTAAGACTAGACTTATATTAGGATTAGGCGTGGAGTTTAATTTTTTTTGGGGTTTGGGCTTAGAATTAAACTTAGAGTTTAGTTTTGGGTTTTTTGGCCCATTAGGGCAATCGAGTTTTTTATTTAGCCCATTAAGACACCTGGTTTTTTATTTTGGAGAATACGTATTCACTACGGTGTTCAACGAACTCGTCACATCGAGGTGACGAGTTTCCCAAATAATATATTTTTATTTAAACTCGTCACGTCAAGATGACGAGTTTTCCCAAATAATATTTTTTTATTCAAGCTTGTCACGTAGAGGTGACGAGTTCCAATAAAATATAATTCTTTATTAAATTTTATCACATCAAAGTAAAAGCTTTAAAGAAAAATGTATTTTTTATTAGAACTCGTCACTTCGACGTGACGAGTTTCGTAACACTATAACAAATATGGTAGATCCCAAAATAAAATTCAATATGCCCTATTGGGCTAAATAAAAAATCTCTCAGCTCTATTGGGCCAAATTTGCCTTAGTTTTGTTTAGGTTCACTTTTAATCCGATGGATGGGAACCAAACAAAACTACCAGTGTCTACAGTTTTCCTTTGAGCCGAACACATCTCACTGTCTCTAAGAAAACAGCTACGTTGTTTTGTTTAGTAGAATCAAAAGTGAAACAGTGGACACTAAAACAACTAATGTAATTAAACTGATGTAATGATGAATTAATTCAACTCATTTCTCATTAATTACTGAGAAGCCAAGAATTGCCACTTCATCTTTGACCCCCTTCCTGGGTTAAAAATTTAATTCTCTGTTAAGTCAAAGAGATAAGCACTAAGAATCTCTGATTAATCAGTTTCAACAGAACTGGTTTCGCAAACTGTGGGCAGAGACCATAGTATTCATGTTCTTACCATTTCACTTCTGCTCTGTCTTTTTATTCATTAAGAATTGCTGTTTTATTGTGTCAAATTCGGTCTTTGTCTACGATCCGAGCCGCTTCCGTGGTAAATGAATTGTTATTCCTTGAGGATTCGGATTCGAGCACTATAAATACCGGTGTATGCATTCAATATCGAAATGTTGAGAGTTATATTTAAACAAATATTGACTTATATTTACCCAGATTAATAAAAAAAACTTATTTTTTGAAAAAAAATTACATATGTTTTAAGGGAATCAAGAGGTTAATAAATGGAGTAATTAATATAAAATGAATTCAAGGGAATAATTTTACTTTATTAATGATAAACATGAGATTAATTCACATTTAATAGAGTGGGTTTTCCTTTTTCTTTTTGACTACTATGTAGAAGTGAGACCCAGTAAAAAGTCATCCAAACTGGCCTATACAAGTGGAAATTTTGAGTTCATGCATGCAATTGTGAGTTGTAACGTAAAGTTTAAATATGTAGTCTAAATTTATTCCAATTATATATATTTAGGAGAAAATAAATAGTCAATTTACCTTATTAGTTAAACGAATTGTTGTTATTCCTAGAAGTCATAGATTCAAACACCAACAAATGCAGCATGGTGATTGAGCGTTCATTGTCCAATGTCTATGCTAGCTTCACCATTGTAACGATATTTGAAAATAAAATCAAAAGCTTGCACCAAATCAAAAGAGTAACGCCAAACAAAATAATACATTGCATGTTAATAATACTGTTATTTTATATCGATAAAAGGATAATGTGTCACACTAATTATTTTATAGACTAGTCAAGTCAGTTGGTAGAGCACAAGGTTCTTAACCTTGAAGTCGTGGGATCGAGTCCCACGGAGGGCATTTCATAATTCGGAGGTCTTCTACGGAAGTTGCTCTCAACCTGGTGTTGGGGGCAGCCTATTATCTTACCTCACTCTTACCCCCATTATATATGGGAACAAGGGACATCCATTTATGATCATTTTATCGTTAAATATCGTTTTTGAGTCGTTAAACAATAATATTATCCACGTGCCGAGCGAAAAATGTATATATGTTCCACGTGGAAAACATTAAGATAAAACACGATCGTTGTATTGTTAAATACCGTTATTTTAGATAAACTTGTGTTCCATGTCGGCAATATCGAAGATATTGTCGTTTATATCGTTAAACACCATTAATTTAAACTCTTAGAAGAGAAACAAGCTCTAAGTCAACATGATCGTTTTTTAAACATAAGATAAGATGCTACATGTAAATTTTCTTTTTTTTATTTTATTTTCCATTTATGCTTTACTATCTACATTTGAAGTTCATGGCTAATCATTATAATAATAATATTTTTAAAATTGGACCATGTTATGATGAGGACGAAAACATTCCCAAAACGGGAAATAGGTTGAATCAAAGGAAGAGGGATTGAACATAAAGATTGACAAATCTTTTACACACAACATTTCCTAGTAGGAGTGTTATTTTTGGTAAATTTCATTTAATTTGGATTATACATTGGATTTTCCTCATAAATTTGTGTAAAAATACAGGGGGCGAGTCTCAATGTTGTTGTTTTTCTTCATAATTTCATGTTCAAATAATATTCAAAACTGCTGATTTAAACCGAGTTTGCACAGGAAAAATATAAATAAAAAGGAATTTGCCTCAGTGTGTAGACCCAGTTCACTTGCCATCTGTATCACCAAATCTGCAGCCACGCATTTACTTGGTTCTGGTTCTTACGGTATAAATAACTGTTGCCATTGCTGCTGAAGATCAAACAAAGCAAAAGAGAAGAAGAAGAAGAAGAAGATGAGTTCTGTTGAGAAACTGAGTGGAAGAGAGTTTTCAAACCCTATGAGTTTTGCAGGAAACCCTCCTCTTTTGAAAATCACAATCTTGGTGGTTGATGATGATTCCACTTGTCTGGCAATCGTCTCCGCCATGTTGAGAGGTTTTCGTTATGAAGGTATATATATCTGTATTGTAGCCTTTATCCACCATTGTTTTCTCTTCTTAAAATGGTGCTTTCAGCATCTTTTTGCTTAGGGTTTTTTTAAAGAAAGAAAAGTTGAAATATCTGTGAATCTTCTTCGTTTTCAGTGTAAACTCTTGAGTTTTTATCATTGTATGTTTCAGTTACAAGTGTTAAGAACCCCATGGCTGCATTGTCTGTTCTTCGTGCAAATCCAAGCAATTTCGACCTAGTGGTCACTGACCTCCATATGCCCGGAATGAATGGGATCGAACTCCAAAGAATAATAAAGCGAGAATTCAAACTCCCCGTCATCAGTAAGTACCATCTTTCTTTTTCCTTCTACCAGTTTTTAAAGAGTCAAACTAACACTTGAATGTATGCAGTAATGTCCTCGGATGACAGTGAAAGAGTGATGTTGGAAAGCTTAGCGGAAGGAGCTGTGTTTTTCATAGTGAAACCTGTGCACCCTGATGGCCTCAAGAATGTATGGCAATATGCCGTTGCTGCCAAGAAAGGTAAATCAGTGGATGTGGAGGAAACCGATGGAGACTCCTCATCGTTGTCGGCCGGAAAACTATCCCTAATCAACATGAGACGATTGCCATCTCCCTCGAACGATGAAAGGGATGATGATGGTAAAAGATGTTCCAAAAGAAAGGAACCGGGAAAGGACAAGGATGGAAAAGACGATGACAGTAACCCTAAACCCAAAAAGCCTAGAAAGGCCAAGGTGGTCTGGACAAATACACTCCACAACCAGTTCTTAGATGCCTTGCGAGATATTGGCCTTGAAAGTATGTATATATATATATAAAAAAATCATAATTTTTATTTTAAAATGGCTAGCTAACTGATGCTAATTTCTTCTTCTTCTTCTTCTTCTTTTCATAATTAACTCAAGCAGAAGCTGTCCCAAAGAAGATTCTCGAGCATATGAACGTCCAGGGCTTAACCCGAGAAAATGTGGCCAGTCATTTACAGGTTCAGTCTAATCTCTTTACATGTTCAATCTAAAGAATAAATCTTAAGACTATTTTGTTGAAGATTTTTGAACAAACTATTTCCCTTACAAATTCTAAAGTATTTTATTGGCTCGTGTAAATGTTGCAGAAGTATCGGATTTTCTTAAAGCGAGTTGCAGAGAGGGCTTGTTTTTCATCGAAGGCCTTGTTCGACAGGTTCCTCAAGTCCACTTTTGCAACTGGCCATCCATTGCTGATGGAAACTGCTCAAGAATACGTGCGAATGCAAGAACTTCAACGATTGAGGAGCTCCGCCCACTATCCTGGTTATGGGAGGAGCTATTCGCCTCATAATGCTACTAGGTATGGAAATGGAACCTTGGGCTATGGTAATCATGGTGCTTCAAGCAGCAACTCGGCACTTCATCCATATGGCTATGGACAATCCCGTTTGTTGGCTCATCAAGCTAACAGGCCACTGCTCTCCAGGAACCTGATGAATCCACCCTACCTGGGAAATCAACTGGGATATGGGAATGGATCGAATTTGTCACTCGACGGTAGGTACTCTAGTGGCCTGATGAATGGTGCAAACTCGGTGCAATCTTACCCGCAGCAGATTCAAGCAAGGCCTGGTTTTTACGATCCTGGTTCCTCATCACAGTTTAGGTTTGGCTCACCTGGTCTTCACTCTTCGAGTTCGACACTTGGCAACGGGATCTTCGGAAGCATGAATGGTTCCCACCGCACTAACCTGAATCCCGGTTACGCCGGTAATAATAATAGCTACGCTGGGATTGGCTTGAATACTGATGGACTTAGCGGTGGCTATGGTTCAATGAATGGTGTTTTCAATGAGAATATGAATGTTGCACCCATGGAGAATCAATCTTTTGATTATCTGGTTCGAGGAGAGATCCCTTCCTCGGGATTACATGGAACAAACCAAGTTCCACCAGCCTTTACTGCATCGAACCAACAAGCAAACACCTCGATGCTATCAGCTCTCGACTATCAAGGAGTGAGTGATTATAATCCTGGCCAGCCGCTGAATAATGGTTTTGATCTACAACTTGGCGATGACGATTACCTTAACGAACTCAGCGACCTAATTCTAGGGTCGAACAAGTATCAATTCTCTAACCAGGTACCGCATTTCTATTCTACTGATTGAGTAGTGAATTGGTTTTATTTATTGATCTTCTTCTCGAAACAAATTGTTTTTTTATTGGTGCAGCAACAAGCCGATAATGGCGGCGCCGATGATCCTAAATTTTCTTTCGGCTCGTTGTTCCCGGGAATCTACCCATCGCTGGATGAACTTCTGAACTCCGACTTCGACGAGTTCCAGGAAGATAACGCTGCCTGGAACGAACAAGACCTTGACCAGGCAAGTGCATTATTTTAAGTCGGTTTGAATCTCCCCATTACTACAACCTTCTGTTAACAATATTGATGCCACTGTAGGTTCAAAGTGCTTTTGAAGAGCTGATCAACCCCAACACTGCTTCTTCCGGCAGCGATGCAAACCCTTCCGACGAATCCGATCCAACCAATCTCACCGGAAACACTAATCAGGCAAAATTTAATTTCCAAATCTCCATTTTCTTTGTTATATATAGCACAAATGATCACACTCTAACATAATCACATTCATCTGTTGTAATGTATATATATAGCAGCAGCTAAGCGAGGGAGATGAACAAGCGATTGACCCTGACCTACTCATCGGCTTATTCCAAGTGAACGATGATGCCCCACCTGCTGCTGAAGATGCTTCATCAAACCATCAGGCATGTCATCATCATCACTCAAGCCTATTTACTATAACATTCATTTCTTCATCAACTTCTTCCCTTCTTATTGTTGCAGGATTCCGAAGAAGAAGCTTTCGTGGCTTCCTTGTTGAATTTCGACGGTCAGTTCGAGTGACGCCGTTGCTTCAAGACATCTGAATCCAGTCATGAACAAGAAGCCGCTCCAATAAACTAACTAATCAATGGCATGCATATGATTATATATATAGTTTATGCATGACTTACATATAATATATAGTTTAAGTTTGAATAATAATCCCAAGAAACTTGAGACTTGGGTCTGCAGTGTGTTTTATTTTGATTTATGTAATGTTGTACATGTGTGTGTGCTTGGTTTAGAACTGAGCATTATCTTTATTGTAAATAAATAAATAACTTGAATTTGCTATCTTAATTTGTTCTATATATATTTTGCAAATTTATATGTTTATTAATTGAAAAAAACTTTTTATTTCAATTTTTTAAAAATATATGAGTTAATTGCATTGTATGTCCCTAAACTATGACCCTCATTTCAAATTAGTCCTTAAACTTTTAAACATTCCAATTTCATTCTCTGATTCTTGTTCTAAATCAGTCCTTAAACTTTTGAACATTCTAATTCATCCCAAAACTATGAATATTTTTCTAAATTGGTCCCTAAAATTTTAGATATTCCAATTTCATCCCTAGATTCATCCAAATAAGTAATCTAATTCAACCATAGTTTAACCTAATTTTCTTTTTTCTTTTTTCAAACATATAATAATATAACTTGGCCTAATCATTTTATTAACAAGAGATGTGATTAGTATATGTATAATTTAGGATAAAATTGAAATATTTAAAAATGTTGGGGACCAATTTAGAATGAATAAAATAGTTTGGGGATGAAATGAAATGTTAAAAGTTTAATGACTAATTTAGAATAAAAGTCATAGTTTAAGGATGAGATTGAAATGTTTAAGAGTTTAGGGACCAATTTAAAATTAGGATCAAAGATGAGAGATGTATAATGTAATTAACTCGATATATATATATATATATATATATATATATATATATATATATATATATATATATATATAATAAGTTTAATTCTTCAGACTCCGTCTTAATCAATCAATGAATAAAATAGTAATGATTATATTAAAAATTACACGTATTGTATTAAATATTTTATCAAAGTTAATGGGTAGTTTTGAAAATTATTCCTAATTAAAATGAAATATTGAATAGTATAGGGATCAAATTAGAATTTGATTAGTATATAAAGACCATTTCGTCAATTTCTCAAAATTGTGGACTCGAGATAAACGAACGACATTTTCACCTTCTACTTACCGACTCACGAGCTCATTTCGTGAAAATATCGCAAGGCTCCTTCACTAGGGTTCTCGACTTTCCCTGATTTTTTTCTTTCTTTCTAGAATCATTATTGCAGAAGGTAATTTCGTACTCTAACCATCGTTTCTGTGTTCAAATTCTATTTAATTATAATTTTTGGAGCCGTCTGATTTATTTTCCATGAAAATGATGGGAAAATTAGTATTTATGATTTCTTTAATTTAATTTGTTCAGATCCAGTTATTTATCTCACCTTATTTGTTGCCTTAGCATCTAAGAGGAGGTTTTAGCACAGATCTATGATTTGTATATTTTTATTGTGATTTGGTTGTTGTCTGGTTTCATTTTTTCTTGATGTAGATCCAGTAGCTGTAATTTTGATTTTTGCTCCCCTTCTTTTCGAAGACCTCGAAAACATCATGCACTAGGCTGCGGTTGATAATTTTCTTTTTATTGTGTGATGGATCAAAATATAAATAATGAGAGATGTAATTCATTTAGAGAAAGTCTCTTCTTCTGGTGTCTGTTTATGGAATGACCTCAGTTCTATATTTCAAATAGTTGGGAAGATCCCCTTGTCTTGTCAGTTATCTTGTGTTTGCTCTCTATTAGTTTACTAAATAACTTTTAAATATTTGTTGACGCTGCTTCCTTGCTCATTCTGTTTTGTTCATGTTAAGAGTGCATTACTACTTGATAGTTAACGCTCTAGTTTTGACTTGTTCTTTCATAAATTTGTTTGTGCTTGTATACATGTATGTGTTTTGTGTGTGAAATACTGATGGGATATTGTCATCTCTTCTGCTCAGGCAACATGAGACCCATTTTCTGTGGAAATTTTGAGTATGATGCACGCCAGTCTGATTTGGAACGTCTCTTCACAAAATTTGGGAGAGTTGAAAGAGTAGACATGAAGTCCGGTGAGTATTATTTCTCATTATTGGCAATTGGTTCCATGTGAGAATCGTGAGCATCATTTCCTGCTCCCTTTTCTATACTATTTTTCTCATGCTATTGGTGTTATTTAGTTGGATGCGTTGGTTATAAAGGTGTCAAAACTCGAAAGTATTTTGACCTTAAAAAGTTGTTTTCTTATTAATTATATCACAGTTAAAATCTATTCCACATGGTTTTTAGTTTCAATGTATAAATGAAACCAAGCTTTTTTTGTGTGTGTGTATGTGCTGAACTTGAATTTTGCAAGTGTAATCTTGGTACTCTATTAAAAAACTAGTTAATTTGAATGCTTAATAGAAGGATAACACGCATTAATTGTAAATGCTTGTAAAAGTTAGAATATAGAGCAATACGTATGCACATTTCACGGTGAGATAAAGTTCATGCTGCAATGAGATAAAAGTATCATACTTCCAGAGAATTAAGGTGTTGGTCCCTATCATGATGGTTGCACAGCAGTATGACCTCATATTACACGATTCAGCAACATCAATCATCCTTCGTTGAGTTTTACTGGGGGTCCAGGATGTTTAAGGAAAACTATTTTAAAAAAACTAAGCCCCCATACTCAACATTTTCTTTGGCGTAGGATTTTCTTGGGATCTAATGGAGGAGCTCCTCAGAGTTCTGTTTCATGCATGTGACAAGGTTCCTCTTCTTTCTTTCAAGAAGAGTCACTCTAATCCGCAATGCCATGGATCATCATTCATCCATCATTTTCCTCAGGGCATTTTTTTCATTTCATTCCTCATGACTTTTTCCCAGCCCTCAAATTCAGACATGTTTCAAGGTAGAAACATTATTGACCTCATGGCAGAGGCTGTAGAAAATATGGAGAAGGCACACTAATTCCTTGACCTACCTGAGATCCATTTTTGGATTCTTTCTCCTTAACATCACTTAGTTCATTACACAAGGTATGTTACTACTTTCATTGGTCTTAGTTTATAGATTGTTGGGAGCTTACCAAAATGTAGTCGTAGGGCATCATTTTAGGTGGTTTGTTTATTGCCGGAGAGTAAACACCAACTGAGAAGATTCCTTCGGTGGGAGGATTTGTCCCATCTTAGTTTATCATTTTCCAACATTGTCAAACTCCTAATGAGTCCCAACTTTTTTCTGGTATGTAGGATTTGCTTTCATCTATATGAAAGAAGAGATAGATGTTGAAGATGCTATCCGAGGACTTGATCGAACAGAATTTGGTCACAAAGGATGTAGGCTTCGTGTTGAATGGACAAAGGTAATGATTTGACATCGTTGTTTTTTGGCAAAAATCATTAAACTGCTTTTTTTTGCATTATCATCTTAGTAAATTCCTTTCTACATTTTGTTCTAGCATGAGCGAGGTGTTAGAAGGCCTGAGGGTGGTGGAGGTGGTTCAAGAAGATCTGTAGCCAATACAAGACCTTCGAAGACTCTATTTGTCATCAATTTTGATCCATATCACACTCGAACTAGGGATTTGGAAAGGCACTTTGAGTCGTATGGAAAGATAGTAAATGTAAGGATCAGAAGGAATTTTGCATTTGTACAATATGATTCCCTGGATGATGTCATCAGAGCATTAGAGGCTACAAATATGAGGTAGGTCGCCTGCCTCCCAAGAAGAATTGCCAATTATTCACTCCTTTATTTAAAAGATATTCAGTAAATTTTATTATTTTTCCTTAACCATGGTCTCTTATCTATTTGTATCAAGCTGATGGATAGAGTGATTTCGGTAGAGTATGCAGTTCGAGATGACGATGATCGTCGAAATGGTTATACTGAAACTCGTGGTAGGTCACCTGAGAGAGGTCGTGATAGATGGCGATCTTCAAGTCCTAACCGAAGAGAGAGGGGTAACCCTGATTATGGTCGTGGCTCTAGTTGTAGTCCATATAGGAAGAAGAGGGAGAGCCCTGATTATGGTCGTGGCCACAGTCTAAGTCACCATAAGAGAGATAGAGGTACTCCTGAGCATGGCCATATCACCAGCCGTAGTCCTCCCCGAAGAGAGAGGGCTGGTTCGAACCATGCTTGTGGGTCCAGTCGTAGTCCTCCCCGAAGAGAGAGGGCTGGCTTGGACCATACTCGTGGCTCCAGTCGAAGTCCGTACAGGAAAGAGAGGGCTAGCCCTGAGAATAACCGAGGCCCTAGCCTTAGCCCATATATGAGAGAGAAGCAAAGTGCTGAAAATGATGGTAGCCCCCTAGTCGCAGTCCTTATAGAAGAGAAAGGCCCACTGCCGACAATGGTCGTGGAGTTGACCATAGCCCATATGGAAGAGAGAGAACTAGCCTAGAGAATGGCCGTGGTCCCAACCCAAGTTCTGTACCAGAAAGAATAACCAGCCCCTATGATGGTGAAGATGAAAGCCCAGTCAATGAGAGATATCGCAGGTCTGTATCGTCATGATCAGTGAGTTTTGCTTTATCTTTTGTGGTTCTTGACTTCTTACTTTGGAGATTTGATTTCACTTCATAATTTTTTTCCATTTAAACTGCAATCAATCACATTTTTCTTTGTGGCAGAACTCATTTGGAAAACATTGTTTGGTGACAAAACTGTTTTATGCAATTACATTTAGAGAGTTGGATTCTGACCTTTTTCTGTAGTGCATGGTTTTAAAAAAGACTAGATTTCCTTCTAGTTTAGGTGCAATGAATGTAGCCTGTTTACTTCAAACGCCAAACTCGTTTCATTTCATCGGTTATGTTTGATTTCGTCCCCGGCTTATAATTTAGAATTTCATCTGTTAGCCTGATTAGGGAGCTCTTAAGATCTCATCTGAATATACGGCAATGAGGCTGGTTGTAGCACAGGGTCGCTGGTGTGGTCTTGATCAGAGGCTGAGTGCCAATGGTCCCGCGAGGCATTGGAATCTCCCTTAAATCACCTCACCAGCAGCTTTTAAAGAAAGAAAGATCTTTGATTTGAAGTGGATCTAAATGATACCCACTTTGGACCCATACACGCGTTGGATTTGGTTCCATTTCATTTTGCACCAATCAATGTTTTAGGCTGAAACCTGAGATGCCACTACTAAAAAAGCAGAGTACCCCTCTCGTAAGAGCGCCTACAGAAGTGCACAAATGACAAAAGCTTTTTCATAGAGAGCAGAGAGCATTACTATGTCTGTGCTAATTCCTACACTATCTTTTTATGGAGAACACTTGAAGATAAAGCAGTGTCTGTTGTCACTGAATCTTATGGTGTCTTTTGTTCCCCTCTTACCCCATCAACCCACTCTCCTTTGGTTTCACTCTTTCTCCCTCTTCTGTCGCTTTCGAATATAATCTTTGCAAATATGATCCTTTTTGCATGAACCAAGCGATCCCGGTGGTAAATGAATTGTTATTCATTAAGATCTCGGGTTCGAACACCGGTGTTAACTGAATTGTTGTTATTCATTGAGATTTTGGGTTTGAGCACCAGAATACAAAAGGTGTATGTTAAATGTTAAATTATTGAGAGTGTTCTTTGAACAAATAGTACATTATATTTATCTCAAATTAATAAAAAAATATTATTTAAATACGAAAATCATACATATGTTTTTAGTTTGTATTTAATATAATATTTTATATAGGTGGAGCATCTCCTTTCTTCGCTTACAGAGTCTCAAACCTTGACCAAAGTGATCAATGAAAAAGCATCAAACCATTGAGTACAAGGGAAGAACAAGTCTAATACTGCCTCTTAGGTACGTACCTAAAGAGTGAAACTGTTGACTAAAGAAAATATCTTTATATATATATATATATATATATATATATATATATATGAATATGATATATCCTAACAAATATGATATGAATGTGACATCTTTCTTGTTACCTTTTGCTATAAAAAAAACAGAGCAGAGGATAAAACACACCATACGAGCATAGTGCCTTTTACATTACTTTTCAAAGGAGATTGTAGGCTAGCTCCCAAATGAAGACAAGTCCTCTCAATATCAACATTAAAACTTGAATAGATTGCTTTTATTATTTTTCAAATATTTACTTCACTTTGCACAAAACCATTGAAAGTTGAAAAAACATCCGGCCCATCTCTCTTTCAAACAACTGATTGGAAAAAGAAGAAACCATTTAAACCCTAATCCTTAATTTACTAAACAGTAGTGAGTAGCAATGAATGGTGTGTCTCACGTTGGGAGCAGACGCCAAATGGGAATGTGGGTTTTAACATAGAAAGAAAGCTAACCTAACAAAGCAAAACATTGGCCTACAAAGATCACCATATCAACCGATAATCAATTGGTCTAGTGTGATGTGACATTAGATGTTTTAAACAAGATAAGGGGTTTGAATCCTGACGTTCATGTATGAGCAAATTGAATTAGAATGATTGCCCCCATAATGAGCCTTTGCAAAGTTCAGTTTAGACTAATCGCTCAATAGATCTTATATCAACGATTAATTAAAAAAATCACCATATCAAATGGGAATGTGTATCTCGGTTTATATTTTATTCTGATTTAAATTTTGTTGTGCATTGTCTAGATTTAGATCAGTATACCAAATGGTATATTAACCCTATATAATTCTCTTCTTTTGCCAATGGGGTATATTAACCCTAGATAGTTCCCTTGTAGATGGTAAAAGTTTTAAGAATTCTTTTCACATTATAATGGAGAGAGGTCAAACAAAATCTTCAATACTACTTATCATTTAAATATAATTTAATAAATCTAGTGACGAGAAAGAGAAAATTAGTGAAGAAAAATTATTTGACACAAAAATACTATTCAAAATTTAACGTTAATTATTTTTGGGAAATTAAAAGTTTAGGTGAAAAACATATCAAAACCGATAGTTTATGTTTCAAACACATTAAGTTTTCAATAATCTGATACTAAAATAAAACAAAAAGTAAACGTTTGATCTAATTTTTTTAAAAAAATGAAAGTTCAGGTAGTAAAACGAATCAAAATTAATAGTTTAGATACTAAATACGTAGTTTACACTATTAAATTTTAGAGTCAGAATCAGGGAAGAAAAAACTGACCCGTGGCCATACCAACTAGAAATGGAGAATAGTCATTAGGTAAACAAGGGTTTAAAACTCTAGAGGCTAGTACCTTTTCAATTAACAAAGTCTACAAATATAAAAATGTTTGCCACCATCAAAAGGAGGGCAGTACACAAACTCGGAAATGAGTTCAACAACAATAGAATACAGCTGAAATAGCAGGTTTTTAACTATAATCATGGAAGCCCCATTTTATTTTTATGGTGAACTTAATGGCAGATGGAAGAGAAAAAAGAAGATTGCTCGAGAAAATCTAAGCACAGGAAGAATAAGCAGACCCAAAGCACGTTCACACAGGAAAAAGAAGAAGAAGAAAACAGGGACGTAGCGTACTGCTTAGTCGAAGAGTTCCCAAGGGAACTTGGGCGAGGCTGAATTGTTGGCCGCTGGCGTGGATGTAGATGTCGAGGAGACTGGTATCAATGCCGGGAATGAATCGAATGTCTCCCATTTCGTGGTGACTACAACCGACCCCAATGCCGATTGCTACTGCTGCAGCTGCTGTTGGTATTGTTGGTGGATTGGCAAGTGGGCAACTGAGTTGCTCGATTTCTGCTCTTGCATTGGTGCTAATTTTTGTCCCCTCGATTGCTGCTCTCGTATTGGAGCTAGTTTTCGTGCATTCGAATGCTTATTTCGATTCTGCATTTCAGTTTGGCCTCCACTGGTGTTAGGCGTAGCGTTTTTTATCTTCAACATATCCAATGTCTCAACATATTTTTGAACTCTTAGCATCTCCACCAGCCATAATCCGACTGGATTATTGGGCTAAATTTACCAGAATATTTTTCAATTATGGATCTCCATAAATGTTTAGGATTCGTGGTTATTCGTTTTGGTTTTTTTTATTTTTTAAGACTTTGGGCTTTTATCTTGGGCTGCTTGCATGTTTGGGGTTTACTGTATGCTCTAGCCTGTGCCCAGCATGCCATAGTATGAAGCCCGGGTAAAATTGGCCCAATAAACTAAGCAGGTAAAAAGATTAACACATTAGGTCAACCAAAATTTTAATTTAAAATTTACGATAAATGTTACAGTATAGAGAAAACTGATTACGTTTATATAATGTATTTATTCAAATAATATTATTTATTCAAACCCATCACGTTGATGTAATAAATTAAAAAAAAAGGTGTTATTGTGATATTTTTTTTTTGAAAATAGTATATACGTGTAAAAAGACCCTTAGCTTCCTTGAAATATCTGTACGTTTTTTTACCTCTCCCAGTTTACAAATAAGTGGTTTTTTTAAAAAAAAACAAAGAAAAGAAGTTTAGTTTAGCCTTTATTTTTCTTATTCATCGATTCCAGCTCGCGGTTTCAGGTTAATAGCTTCCCTTCTTGCTTTTTTAAATTTGTTCCGTTTTATTTGATTGAATTAGTCTAATCATTTCGCTAGTTTGATTCTGTTTTGATCGATCTCTGAAACTATTGAAGCATACGGGGTTTTATCCTTGCGAATTTCGGTACTTGCTTGCAATTTTTTGATCTTCTTGTTTAACTTGTCATTGAGTATTTAATTGAAGTCAATCTGTTGCTTCTGTTTGGGCTCTTTTTTTTTTTCTCTTTCTAGTTTGAGTTTGTTTACACTATGGGATATGCGTATGCGTGTGATCACTTTGGGTCAAACTTTGATTCGTAGTTTGTTTCGTGTGTTGAGTGATTTGATAGCTGATACATGCTCTTAGAGTGAAAAGATTTTAGTTTTTGAGCATAAGTACACATTATTGGTCTAATGAGTTGGTTTCAAAATTAGGTTTTCTTTTGTATGGAGATTAATCTTCAAAAGGGACCTGTTTTCACGGTGTTTCTAGTCTTGATTGACTTATCTAGTGAAATACTGTTAGAAAAGGTTGTAACTTTGTTCTCATGGAGCACATCAATTCAAATTCTAATTTCTGTCATCTGTGTTTTCTATCATAAATTGTGTTTAGATCTCTGCATCAAATTGTTGAGCTCGTGTTTATTATTAGAAAGGTCTGGCTCTGGATAGCTATTTAAACACCAGCCACCAAGGGGCAGTGCCTCCAATGGCACCTTCTCGGGTGGCTGGGGGGTTAACCCAATCTTCCTCGAGTTCTGGAATTTTCTTCCAAGGAGATGGGCTGTCCCAGGCTGTATTTAACTCTCACCTGAGCTCCCCTTATGAAAATTCATCTAATTCAATTCCTGGAACTGGGCGTCCTAATATGGGTCTGGTTTCGGGTGATATGAACAGTTTGCTGTGGAACAGTGTGGCAAATTCAGGACCTAGTGGTGGGGCAAGTTCTTTGGTCACAGATGCAAATTCGACGTTGTCAGGAGGTCCGCAGTTGCAGAGAAGTGATAGCTTTAATACCGATTCATATATGCGCTTACCAGCATCGCCCATGTCATTTTCCTCCAACAATATAAGCATGTCAGGTTCATCGGTAGTTGATGGATCTTCTGCTGGCCAGCAGGGCTCTCATCAAGACCCAAATGTCCGACAACTACAGCAGGGTCAGCTGTTGCAGCAAGGAGTCTCAACCTCTACATCTTTGCCTGCGTCACAAACCGGGCAAGTTTCACTTCCCATGGGTCTACGAGTCCCAGGGTCCTTCATGCAAGATCCCAATAATCTATCTCAGGTGCAGAAGAAACCTCGATTAGACATCAAGCAAGAAGACATCCTGCAGCAGTTGCTGCAAAGACAGGATTCCATGCAGTTGCTGCAAAGACAGGATTCCATGCAGTTGCAAGGTCGAAACCCCCAATTACAAGCATTGGTCCAGCAGCAGCGACTTAGGCAACAGCAACAAATTTTGCAGTCAATGCCACCATTGCAGAGAGCACAGTTGCAGCAGCAGCAACAGCAAATGCACTTGAGGCAGCAATTGCAACAACAGGGCATGCAGCAAGTAGCTGGAATGAAGCGCTCCTTTGATGGTGGTGTATGTGCTCGCCGGCTAATGCAATACCTATATCACCAACGGCAAAGGCCAACGGTGAGTTTATGTTTTTTTCTATATCTTGTGGCGAAGTATCTTGAATTATAATTGATTTGATTTAACATTTCCTTGCTCTTGAAGATTGCATTTTTTTTATGGAAATATGTATGCTCAGTTAACTTCCTGCAGTCATGAAGTTATCCTTCCTTTTTTTGCGTGTACAAATTTACTATATACTCTGATGATTGCTCAACTATCTTCTTGTTACAGACTTGACATCAACTCATTTTCAATTCGTAATTGCTGAGAATCCTATTATATCTCCTTAATTTTGTAGGATAATACTTTTGCATACTGGAGGAAATTTGTTGCAGAGTATTATTCTCCTCGTGCAAAGAAAAGATGGTGTTTGTCACAGTATGATAATGTTGGGAGTCATGCACTTGGTGTTTTCCCTCAAGCAGCTATGGTTAGTCTTTATGCTTTTTTCCTCTAGTTTGTAACATGCGAAAATTATCTATCTATCATGAAGTGTAGGCCATTTCATTGAATTGTTTGCACTGATTTGTTAATCCTGCACTCATTCTTCTGCATGAATAATACTATCCATCACTTGGGTTCTTAATTTATTTTTGTTTGTATTAAATCTGAAGAATTCTGATTTTCTTTATGTAAAAATTTCAGGATGCCTGGCATTGTGATATTTGTGGGTCTAAATCTGGAAGGGGGTTGGGTAAGAGATTTTTGAGCTCTTGATTTGTTGTAGATATTTGTGGGTCTTATTTTATGTTTGTTACAGGATGCTATCTGCAGTAAATTCATTGCTTTCTTTTCATTGATTTTCATTTTTATCTCAGTCACACTTCCTTGATTATAAAATACCTTTTTATTTCTCTCCTTGTATTGACATACTGGATGAAAGAGAAATGGAATTTTTGAATTTTCAGGGTTATGGATTTCTCGATATTCTTTTGCCAGCTTAAAACTTTCCTCGAACAAAGCCTATCATTTCTTATTTTCTTAATTGGACAATATATTGTCTTCCAATGGTTTGAAATTAATATGCATCGATTCATAATATCTCTGGATTTATGGACTCCATTGTTTATTCTTATTTTGTTTCACTAGTTAAGAGAACGTGGGCCCCATGCTTGTAGCTTCAATCTAAGTTTTGCACTTCAGAAGTCACTTATTCTTACCACGTGATTTTAACCTAAGTAAATGCTCTCATGTTTACAGAAGCAACTTTTGAAGTACTCCCCAGACTTAATGAAATCAAATTTGGTAGTGTAGTGGTTGATGAGCTTCTGTTTTTGGACTTGCCTCGTGAGTGTAGATTCCCTTCTGGAATAATGATGTTGGAGTATGGAAAAGCAGTCCAGGAGAGTGTATATGAACAGCTTCGTGTTGTTCGTGAGGGGCAGCTTCGCATCATATTCACTCAGGACTTAAAGGTTAACAAAAGCTTATTCACATTTTGCAATTCTTATTTCTACTATTTACGGAATAACCTGTTGTCACTTTTTTTCTGCAGATATTGTCTTGGGAATTTTGTGCACGTAGACATGAAGAACTTTTTCCACGTCGTTTAGTTGCACCCCAGGTACTAAAATTTGCACCTTATTAGCTCTAACTTCCTGTTGATAATTCTTCTGCAAATACAGTCACTCTGCTATTTCTCTTGCATTTGTAAGAAACATAATGCTGTTTCTATAATTATGGTTGTATAATAGTACATACTATTGAACTTCCTAAGCCATTTGTTTTAAGTTCTTTAGGGACACCTGATGTACCTTGAATGTGAATCATGTAGGTAAACCAGTTACTTCAGGTAGCACAGAAATGCCAGAACACAATTTCTGAAGGTGGGTCTGAGGGGGTTTCTCGGCAGGACTTGCTAACAAACAGCAATATGTGAGTTAATTGAACTAATATGAAACTCTTTCTTTGCCATGAATTAATGTCACTTATCAGATTCTTTTTGTCAGAGCCCTTAAGATTTCAAGAGAGTACTTGCTTCACAAACCATAGAAATATGATTTTTCTGATTGTTACCCCCCTTGAATGCCATTAAGCCAGAAAAGCACCAATAAAGTTATTTTGCAGGGTCTTGAATTATTAGTGTTTATTTTAGTTGAGCTTCTGGTTGTATGACCTTAAGGCTTTTTTTTATATTTATTAACCAATGATTGAGTAGTTTAGCTATTACCTGGTTATTACTCATTAGAACTTTGCTGATTCAACATGATTACATGGCTGCTTTCTCTTAGGGTCCTGACAGCTGGACGGCAGCTTGTTAAGAGTTTGGAGTTGCAGTCGTTGAATGACTTGGGTTTTTCGAAAAGATATGTCAGGTGTTTGCAGGTACAGTTTTAGCTTTTTGCATTTAAATTTCAGTAAATAGATATTCATGTTTTTAGTTTCCTAACAATTTTGCAATTTGGATAATTCGTTATAGATTGCTGAGGTTGTAAGTAGCATGAAAGATCTAATAGATTTTTGTCGAGAACACAAGGTTGGGCCAATTGGTAAGTTGTGCATTTGCCTTACGGATCTCTTACTATTGGCCAAAATGATTTTGTGCAGATGTTGGTCAATGTACGCTTGTTTTATATGAATTGAGATAAAAACTTTATTGCTTTGATCCTAACCATCTGTTTGCTTAAAAATTGTATCTGCAGATGGCTTGAAAAACTATCCTCGACGTGCTGGTGCAGCCAAGCTCCAAATGCAGGAAATGGAGCAGTTATCGAACACTCAGGGTCTGCCAACTGACAGGAATACCCTCAATAAGCTAATGGCACTTCATCCGGGAATAAACAACCCAATGGGTAACAGCCAGCACATGGTCGGTCGAGGAACTTTAAGCGGTTCAGCACAAGCTGCTTTGGCACTTTCTAACTACCAGAATATGCTCAGTAGGCAGAACTCGATGAATTCAAACCCTAACTCACTCAACCAGGAAGCCTCTTCTTCCTTTAATAATTCTAACCAGAGTCCATCTTCAAATTTCCAAGGACCTGCTGCCGTGTTATCAGGATCCATGCAGACCCTGCCTGTTAGTGGCTTATCGAGTCCCCATTTACCAACTCAAGTAAGCGGCAATAACTTAACCCAAAAGAACCATCCGCAGCAATCTCAGGGTAATCAGGTTTTACAACAACAAATGATGCAACAGCTGTACCATGAGATGTCTAATAGCAATACCGGAGTTCAGCAACAGCAACTGCAGTCCCTGAGTGGGCAGAATGGGAATGCAAGTGTGGGAAGAAACGGAATGGGCTTTGGTAGCAACACCACTGCTCCACCTGGTGCAGCCGCTTTTAATGTATCAGGAAGTGCAGCTGGGCCTGCACCGAGTCGAAGCAACAGTTTTAAAGGTGCTTCAAACAGTGACTCCTCGGCAGCTGGTGGCAATGCTGGATTCAACCGGAGCGCACCGGATTTACCTCAGAGCCTCCATTTTCAGGATGATATAGTTTCGGATATAGCTCAAGAGTTCCTGGATAGCGGGTTTTTTAACAGAAAACTTGACGATTATGGCTGGAAGGCATGACTAACCTCGTTTGGCCCAATTAAGGGCTCTCCTGTTTGGTAAGTTTCGGACAAATTGTTGTACAGAGCCTTTGAAATAGCTGCTCTTTCTTCCCTATTGTTTTTTCTTTCCCGGCAACCTCTTTGATCCGGCATTTGTTGTGACATCACTTGCCTTGTGCTTTCAGTAGGGAATTAGCTATCATTTCCCCTTTCATCCTTTTTTTTAAGGATTTCCAGTTTTCAAGTCTTACAAGTGTAATCTGTTGAACAGGACAAACTTTGGAACATAGTATGTTTCTTATAATATGATGCTTACATGTTTCAATGCTCAGAATTTCATTGCATTTTGCAAGTCAAGTCTATTTTATTTGCAGTAACCGAATCAAATGTCAGGCAAAAAGAAAAACAAAACTAGACTAAATGCGACGAACAATTATTAGCCAGGAGAGGGGGGCAAATCATCGGCATCATTCGCACTGGCTACCCTGGCCTGAAGTAGAGCATTCAAGATCATTTGTTCCCAACCTCTTGTGCCTCTCTGTATTATTCTTGCAGTGAAGGTACGGAGACAAGAGGAAGATGCACTGTTTTCCCTTACGGATGACGCCGAGGAAAGCATACAATTCTCTGTTTCAGGCATGTACTTCAAAGCACACCTCCCTGTTGAATCGAGCTCTCTATATCAAATCTTGGTAAAAGCGGCCGCCCGAAGACTTGAACATGTGAAATACTGCACAAGGCTCGACCAGATTTTACGTATTTAGAAATAGATATACTAATTTTGATTAAGCCTGAAATAAAACACTCGGTATTATTATTATTAAAAGTTATAAAAAATTTATCCAACTATTTATATTATGTTCTAAAATTAACATTTTCGTTAAAAAATTACGACATTCTGAATTCAATATTAACTTACTGACTATGATATGATAAAATATGATCTTAAAATCTCAAATAACTATCATATTTAAGTCATCATGTTAACGTCAAGTTTAGACGACCGTCAATATTTTTTTACGAAAAATGACGAATTTGGAACATAATTAATGGACTATTGACTATTTTGTAACTTTTAATAGTCAAAGAACTCGATAAAACAACACTCTATAGTTGAAGGATCATTTTAAAATTTGTAATGATTGATGCACTTAATAAAATAATACCTTATAATCGAAGACTATTTATATACTTACCCTAAAATCAAACACACAATGATGGGGCGAGCCGTAATTGTGCAGATAAGAACGCCAACGTCACAATTGTTTCTCACCGACGATACAGCCCAACTGTGTCCATTTCAGATCCAATCCATTAAATTTATCTTTGCTATATTTATATAATTCAATTAGTAATAATTGTATTTTTTTCCTGATTAATTTGGACCCGTGTCACACAATGATTTTAGTGAGTAAATCTCGTAACAAAGATTTTCTATATATATATATATATATAAAAGGACTTGAATCCGAAACTTTGATTAAACACGTACAAATTATATCCTTGTAAAAAAACAATTTTTTGATGTAATCAATCAGTATCTTCCGACTTAATTACTTAAAACTCATTTGTCTAAATCCACTAGGACATATCGACACAGAATCTACACAAAGACCTCCTTTGGTGTGTGTACAATCGATCTGCATCATTGAGAACTTAATTTTAGTCGGAGAATTCGAGTCGCCGGTGACGATGAAATCGCCCACATGGTAATAAACCCATTTCCCGGAATCATACAGGTAGCACTCGGACGAGACTTCCTGGCCCGTCGATGTCGAGAGTTGGAAGCGGACGGGCTTGATGTTCCACCCGTGAACTTGGTTGATGTTGCACGTCCGTCGGCCGAATCTTCTCGACGGTTTACCTAGATGCAACCGGAAAAATAAACTGTATGATCCGGGTGAAAACTCGAACTCTAATTCTCCGACCACTTCAAACCACCATATTTGTTGAAGATACGCCACGGTCTCGAACCTACACGTGTATAACAAATACATTTAGTGTCTAAATTAACTCTTCATTTAAATTGTCGACAATGCTGGTTATACAAGCTTGTAGGGATTAATAAAATGTGGCCGTAATTTTCATTTGGTTTTAGTATATTTTAGTGAATTAAAACGCATAACCATTCAACTTGGTTTTAGTTTATTTTAGGGTCTAAAGTGCAAGTTGCAAGTTTTAAGATTTAATCAAACCAACTCAGTGTTAAAAGAAATTATTGTTATTCCTTGAGTTACTGGGTTTCAATCCAGGGGTTTGAACAGATTTATTTAAAAAAAATCGAGATTCGATCTATGAACAACTCTAATTCGTCCTATATCTTGAATAACATTAGCACCAACCAGACATCAACAATGTCATGTTCCATGGCAATTTAGCATGGGACATCAAGAAGGAGAAAGTAACACTATTGTATTACCTGGATTCTTCTGTCGGAATGTGATTCCAATATCTCCGATCATCGATCCCTGTTATTTTCAGCGCCTTGGCCGATACCGACATGCAAAGCTTACCGCTCTGTTTGTCCAACCACACTTCCTGCAGAAAACAAAGTCCATTTTACTCACAAAAGTTTCTTCTTCTTCTTCTTCTTCTTTCTGGGGTTTTTTTACAGGTTTTGATCTATCAACAATCAAAGAAGAAAAAGAGAAAGCTATACCTTGGTGCCACCATCAAAACGATTAGGCCTGCACAGTTTAGCGAAAGTCTCTTTCTTGCACAAAGAGTCCAGGGTTTGACCGAGAACTTCCTTCACCAGGTACCCGTGATTCGACGGCAGCTTCGTTTCCCACACGAAATCAGCCAACGAAGCTCGACGGAAAGCCCTGTTCAGCCTCGCCAGTTTGCAAATCTCCGGCGGATCCAAGTACATATATATGGACGATATACAACCTTCAGGCACATCGTTAAGACCGGTCTTGAACTGAGAATCTGCAGCTGAAAGGCCAGATACACCAGCCCCCATAAAAACCAAAGAGGAACACACTAGAGGTGAAGGAAAATGGAAAGCAAGGGTTGTTTGTGGCTCAAGGAAGGGTTTGAAGGTAGAGGAGGAGATGGTGAATGAAGCAGGAAACAAGGGGAGAAATCAAAGGAGAGGGCACCAGTTTCTTCATGTTCAAGGGAGAGAGAAAGAGGGTTTTCTAGCAAATCAAAAGGTTTTGGTTTTTGGAGACTTTGGGGTATGAAGCCCAATGTTTAATATTCTCCACTTGACAAAGGTGAAAAGGGTACGTTTATGAGTGTGCATGGAATATATACATACATTCCAGATGATAATCAGACCGATTAGGTTAAATTTTTAAGGCAAAAATACATCAAAGGTCCCTGTACTTTAAGAAAAAATAATGTAACCCTCATATTATGTTTTCTCTCATTTTAATCCTTAAACTCATAAAATAAATCTGACATGGCATTTTGACCAACGTTTTTCGTCGTTGACCATTGTGGTGTTGATGTAGTAGTCCATAGTATGTTGTGATAGTTTGTGGTAGTTGATAACGTGATAAATAACATGATAAATTGACTAAATTGTTAACTCAAATGTGGCAGATGGACTGTCACGTCAATACTGTGAACTACCACGTCAGCACCGTAACAGTTAAACGATGAAAAATGTTGGTTAAAGGGCTACATTGGGTTTGTTTTCTGAGTTGGAGGGTCACATTGATTCTTTTTCAAAAGCACAAGGACCTCTAATGCCTTTTTACCAATTTTTTATCGTTTTAATTTTGATTTAAAATTTTAAAAAATATTTGTTTTATTTTAGTATAATATATGTATTAAATATATTAAAAGATGATTTTTTTATTAAAAAATCAAATCAAATATCACATTATATGAAAATGTTTTGCATTTGAGTTAATTTAGATGATTAGAAAGTAATATATGTTCTAAATACTCTTAATCATTTGACCATGAATGTTCAATCACCTTAATATAATCGTTAGTACTCGAACTCATACTTTCTAAGAACGACAACAATTTTTTTAATTACTAAAATAAATTTATTCTTACAAATGAATAAAAAATTTAATCAGACAACTTGATCTATGGTCATCTCAACATGAAATACAAACCGTATATATATTTGTATTCCCAAAACAGCCAATAATTAAATTGGCTCAAAACTTGGAAACTATATGTTATTTTTTCAGTGTATGCTCAGCCGTCTGTCCATGTCATCAGTTTGATATTTCTGACTGAATTATAATTTATTTTATTTAGTTTTTCTAATATTGATAAAGTCAATTCTAGAAATTTCAACAATAATTAATTGTTATATAACGGATAATTTACCATTTTTTCTGTTGCGCTCTTATTTCAAAGTTTTATTTTAGTTAATTTAGACCGATTTTCGTCGCACATCCAATTTCGATGAATAATTCTTTCAACGGAGATTTCAAAGTTTTATCTTGATACGTGGATTCATTGGGTCATATTAAACTAATTGTTATAAATGTTTTATAGATGACTTTCAGATACAATTTTTTTTAATAATAAAACGTTACAAGGGATATAATATGAATCTTAATTGATATAATAGAAATATCCCATAAAAAACATAGCTAAATATAGATGTTTAGTCGGGGATGACAATGGACGGAGCAGGTGTGGATACTCCTTCTTTCATCCTCATATCGATCTAGTATCTTTATATTCACCACCTACCTATCATCTACGACAGGTAAAATTTTTAAATTTATATCTGTTAACGCAAGTACATTCTCAAATCTATTCACACACCCAATATCTAACTGGATACCCACCACCCATCTCATACGTGCTTGTAGGGATGGGCATAGGACTCGAACCTGACGGGTTTCGACCCGACCCGATCAGGTCAGGGTTTTTTTAAAATTCGGGTTAAGGTCGGGTCAGATTCGGATTTATGGTGAAAAATACCAGACCTGACCTGATCCAGAAAAAATATAATTTTATTTTATATATTTAGGAATAATTACAATAATACCCCTCTATATATTATTTTTTAATTAAATTATTATTTTTATTGAATAAAAATAATATTTTTATTATTATTTCGGGTCGGGTCGGAATTCGGATTTTATTTAAAAAAAAAACAGGTCGGTTCGGGTCGAGTGGAGGGTATATATATTATGCGGGTCGGGTCAAATTTTAAGTAGAGAAGTCATTGTTCTCGGGTCGGGTCAAGTGGACCAAAAACCCGACCCAACTCGACCCATGCACATCCCTACGTGTTTGTATCCACTCATACCCGTCCGACAACAACCTCACAGATTACATAAGCGACGGTCTTCAATTTTAAAAATGTTTATACCCCTACATTTGGTTAAATTACAAGTTATGTCTTATAAAATCTTAATATTGTAAAATGCACAATATTGTATCTATCTATCATCCCTATCTATGTATATATAATTGCTAATTCAATTAATTAAGAGAGATCGTCATGCTCTCCTGGGCATGGGCATATGGGCCGGTAGGCAACCTTTCGGCACATCCTCCAAATTATTAAATGAAACAACTGACTTTAATTGAGATGTTGTATTATTGAGTGGTAAAACGACACAATGATAAAAATAGAGCTTTATAAGATCATCTAAATCCAAATAAAACGCATTAATTAATGGGTTAGGCTTGACTTAAGCACATGAATTCGGTATTTAAAAATACCCATGCGTTCCCTGACATGATATTTTATAAAATCAATAAGCTTTCTTTCTATTAATTAATAATGGGTTCAACTGCCCAAATGTCTACATGTCATTGGTTGTACCTGCTTCTCATCATATTATAGCATGGGTGAAATTCATGTCGAGTATCATGGGCTCATTTTAGTCACCAAATGCACCAGAAAGTAAATAGGGAAAATTACATATTCAATACCTAAACTGTCAATTTTAGTCCGTTTTAATACATAAACCTTAAAAATTTTCAAAACCATATCTAACGTTAGTTTTCATTTCATTTTAACACCCACCATTAAAAATGTAATGCGTTTATTACCTAAAATATTAGTTTTGACCCGTTTTAGTACCTAATTTTTTCAATTTTTTCAAAACTTAACGCTAAATTTTAAACGGGATACTAAAATGAAACAAAAGTAAAGGTTTTAATGGTTGGTATTAAAATGAAATAAAAACTAAACTTTAGGTATTATTTTAAAAAAGTTGAAAATTTAGATATTAAAATAGACCAAAACTGATAGTTTATATATTAAATGTATAATTTACCCAAGCAAATAATGGAAAGCCGAATGTGTTTTTGACACATTCTTTCTATTATTGATGAGCAATTTATATAATCATTTATTATTGGATAAAGTACACAAATGGTCCCCGACTATAGGATACCATTTTATTAAGTCTTTCGACTATTAAAAGTTATAAAATAGTCCTCCGACTATAGAGTTTTGCTTTATTGAGTCCCTTAACTATTCATTATGTTCCAAACGCGTCATTTTTTTGTTGTTAAAAAAATAACTATTGTCTAAGCTGAACGTTAACATGATGACTGAGATATAATAATCATTTGAGATTTTGAGATCAAACTTTATCATATCATAGTCAGCATGTTAACATTCAACTCAAAATGTCATCAATTTTTTGACAAAAAAATGAGTTTGGAACATAATGAATAGTCAGATGATCATTTTGTAATTTCAACAGTCGAGGGACTCAATAAAGCAACTCTCTATAGTCAAATGAATATTTTATAATTTTTAATAGTCGAAAAACTTAATAATATCCTATAATTGGAGATCATTTTTATACTTTACCCTTTATTATTTTATCTATGATAAGTAGATAGTTTTAAATTTTAAAAAAATCACAATTATCTTATGAATTTGAAGATTATGAATAATTTAAATATAGTATAATAATAATAATTTAAATGAAACCCAAAAAATTATTTCGGTTAATGAAAGAAAAGACATGGGGCTGGTCCCAGACCTAGGGGCCATCCTAGTCCTTATAAAATGAACCGAATTACCGCCACCGCAAACCATCATGTTCATCAACAGTAATATCATTGAGGATACAGCCCTTGACCTGGCACTGACTCAGCAATGCAATATAAATAAGACCCAGAATTTGTGATAGTAAAATAATTATTGTATTTTTTTTAAAATTTTGAGTTCAAATACAAAAAATACTAGGAGGGTAAACATTTGTACTAAGAATCAATTGGTCTCGTGGGATGAACATGTTTGCCAACATGTTTTTGCTTTTCGAAAATTAAACTTTGTACTAAGAATCAGTTGGTCTCGTGGGATGAATCACTAGATCATTTAACCAAGGTCAGAGGTTTGAATTCTAGTAATTATGAATGAAGGAAATTAGGTTGGGAGAGTTACCATTGCTTCTACAGTACCCAATCTAGATTAGTTGATCAATAGATCGGATATCTCTTAAATATTCGATTACATTTTGTTGCCCTTTCGATTTTAGAGTTTCGTCTTGACTAATCTAGATTGATCTCCTAACGAAGTTTTTCTGCATACACAAGAACTCGAACTTAAAACATTACTTAAACGATATTAAATTATTTATTACTTGAACTAACCTCGATGGTTTCTTATCGCATTCGGTATGCAAAGAATTAAACACATCAATCTTGAATTATGCATAAATTAGAGTTCAAACATATGCATCTAGGAATCATATTCCTATACAAATTTAATCGTTGAAGGTGTCCAAATCTCAACGCATTATTTGGCCCAAACTTAGGTTATGTTGAAATAATCACATAAAATTTTCTATAAAATAACTGTTTAAGGTAATTATTAAGTCTAATTACTATAAATTTTAATTTGTTATACATTTTTGGTTAATAGAATATAATTACATATAAATAAATTAAACTCACTAAATAAAAAAATAAAAATACCAATAATATGTTAGCCTAGAAGAATAAGACGTTAAATACTCTAAATAATATTCAAAATTCGAATCTTCACGATGTAAATAAAATAAATTAATCTTATTATAATGAATCAAATTGACCGGTACCTATAGTTATAAAAAATGAATAAAAAATTTGAGGGTAAAGTATACAAATGATCTACGGACAATAGGATAATGTTTTATTGAGTTTATTGACTATTAAAAGTTACAAAATGGTCATTTGATTATAGGATATTGCTTTGTTGAGTCCCTCGACTATTAAAAGTTACAAAACGATCACCTGACTATTTCATATGTTCCAAATTTGTCCTTTTTGTTAAAAAATGATGTCAAGTTGATTTGGACGTTAGTATGTTGACTGAGATATGATAAAATCTAATCCTAAAATCTCAAACGACTATCATATCATAGTCAACATGTTCACGTCCAACTCAGATTGCCATCAAATTTTTGACAAAAAATGACGTGTTTGAAACATATGAAATAGTAGAGTGACCATTTTATAACTTTTTATAGTCGATGCACTACAAAAAGTAACATCCGATAGTCAAATGACCATTTATAAATTTTAATAGTCGAGAGACTTAATAAAATATTGTCCTATATTCGGGACAACATTTGTGTACTTTACCCAAATTTGATAGTGGCCGCCGCTAGAAATATAATGTTTCACCTTCACCTACCCTGAACACAACAATAACTGTGATGTGTCTAAAACCTCACGCAATAGATTACTGTGGCTGTTAGCATCCAAATCCACAACTATAAATGGTCTAAAATCCCCAGACATGGCAATTGTGAAGTCAGTAGTATCTCTCAGTTCCCAAGCTGCTGTACTAGTAGTGTTGTTGCCGGTCATAGTGGCGACGGGTAAGGCGCAGATGAGCTGCACGACTCAGCTGCTGGGCCTGAATTTGTGCAGACCCTTTGTGGTGCCCGGTGCCATCGAGACAGATCCGAGTCCTCAGTGCTGTGGTGCACTCCAATCCGTGCAGCATGACTGCCTCTGCAGCACTCTCAGGCTGGCTTTACAGCTTCCATCTCAATGCAATCTCCCACCTCTCTATTGTGCTAACTGACAACTATCCTGTTCTTTTTTTCACTAATATGTATCGAGTCGAACGAGCTGACAAAATGCTTGTGTTGTTTTCAGATTCCAATCAGTCTTCCATTATCTCGATCAGCTTGCATAAAAGTTAACGTAATAATATTTAATCACCCAAATCAAATAGTGTGCTGCTTGTTTATGGCGGGAAAATGGCATGCATTTTAGAGCAAAGAGTTCTGATTCAAGTCCTTGATAATTTAGTATACTCCTTGTTTCTTTTCTTGACTGTTCAGAGATCTAGATCAAGTAAAAGTTGCTGCGATAAGTTAGCTTGAATAGACTAACTTTAGTAGTTGGAATCATGCTCAAAATTTAATATTTAACCCTAATTTGATTGAGTTGAATCAATTTGATTTTATAATATTATCTTTTTAATTCGAATCTAAACTAAGTCTGATCGAAATTTTAGAAGGATAAAATAGGGTTAGATTTCGGTTTTATAATAAAAAATACGTGATATGTGAATAATAATTTAATTGACTTTTACATATTTAAAGATCATTACTATAATACTCATCTATTTATATTTTTTGAATTAGATAATCATTTTACCTAAAAAATGAGAATTTATATATATTTGTTTATATTGGGTTCGGTCAGTGCGAGTTTTTAGCTTAAAAATTAAGTTATTTTGAGTTGGTAAAGATTTTTTAAATGCAAGTAGTCAAATGATTGTTACGACTGATCAAAATGATATTTATTTTGTAATCATGTTGATCTTTCCTACTATGGACTCTCAGATCGAATTTGGATATGCGATTTTGTGTTCGTAGATAGTTTCTCACGATGCTGTGATTTGCAGTTCTCAGTGGTCTTTCAATAGCTTAATTCTCTTTTGTGATTTGTTTGCTAATGCAGTCAGATTTGTTCGTATCTATTTTTTGTTCGAATCTTTTGATTGGATTTTTAACCTTTTCCATATATATATATGATACTTATATGATCTGAAGTAACTAATTTCAATGTTATAGAAAAATATCCAAATTATATATTTAGTTTACGATGATAATTGTAAACTCTTATTGTAATTTTGAATATTTTATTTTTTTAATAATATTAGTTGTTTCTGTTTAACATATAATTAGTCATGGTATTGTTTAGTATGTTCTTTATTTTTTGAAACAAATTATCGGTCAAATCCAAACTTTGAACTACAATAGAAAATTTATTAGACTTATATCTAACCCTACTAATGCCAATAGTGAAGCTTGGACTAGTTAATCTTATATACCAGTTGTAACTTGGATCAAGGTATACGGTCCACTCAAACATCTCCATTTCCCCCCAGCCGCCGGTGACAAAAATCGAAATTCCACGTCAGCCTTCAACCTTTGCATGCTCGGACAAAAGACAACGATGAATGCCGTAAGCCCTCATGTCACACTGTCTGCAATCCAATGCTATATATGCAGCTGTGCCTGTTCCATTCGTATTTCGTTGTCGTTGCTACCAAAATGGCCTATTCCCTGCTTTGCATGATAGTGTTCTTTTTAGTCATTTTGTTATGGATTTACCACTGGAAGAACCCGAGGTGCAATGGCAAGCTCCCACCAGGTTCCATGGGTTTACCGGTCATCGGAGAGTCATTTCAGTTCTTTGCTCCTTACACCACCTCCGACATTTCTTCTTTCATCAAAAGGATGATGGAAAGGTATACTGCTAACGCTCAATTTAATCATATGAACATGTGATCTACGTCTAATTAACATCATCGTACGTCTTAACTTGTTCGAGTTCGATATCTTCAGGTACGGTTCTTTGTTCCGAACAAGCCTGGTTGGTCGGAAGATCGTTGTGTCCACTGATCCCGATGTCAATCGCTTCATTTTCCAACAAGAAGAGAAGCTGGTTCAAAGCTGGTACACGGACAGCTTTGATGATATTGTCGAGAAGGAAAATGTGTTATCCAGTCATGGATTCCTGCACAAGTACCTCAGAAATTTGGTTTTAAACATGTTTGGCTCCGAAACCCTAAAAGAAAAACATCTTTCGGAACTAAACGAACTAACCATCAAGCATCTGCAGCTGTGGTCTACCCAACCTTTAGTTGAACTGAAACAGGCCATATCGAACGTATAACTTTGCTTTCTAATTATGCTCTTAGTCCCTATACTCTTTGTGCATTTGACGATTTATCCCTTTACTAGACAGTGTTGGGAAATAAACCAAGTACAAGTAATTTTCCTATTACCAGATTAGTGAGAATACGAAATAAAAGCGGAAAAATAATACCCGAAATTGATAACGGAGTTCAGCCAATTGTGCTTACGTCTCCGGACTGCTGCAGATCTTTTACTAAGAGAGAAAATTTACAGGTGTTTACAAAACACTCACTACTCACAAGAAAACTCTCTAGTATTGGGAGAAAGAAATGATTTTTGGGATGGTTTTGAAGCTAAATGAGCTAGGGTATTTATAGTTGAAACTTAAGGACTTAATCTTGTAAATATCCTAAAACCTAGGGATTAATTGTGATTATCCCATTATCATTTTTCAACAAACATCTACCAAACTTTGAAAAACTATTTTTCAAAGAAACATTTACCAAACTTTGAAAACTATTTTCAAAGAAACATTTACCAAACTTTGAAAACCATTTTTTCAAAGTTGGTTACCAAACTTGAAAACCATTTTAATACTTTCAACAAAATCCCACTTGAAGACTGATTTTAATCTGTCTTCATACCTCGATCAATGCAACAGCTTTTCTAGTCTTGTTACTCTAGCATGCCAACTGAAGTTGAACACAACTTCAGTTTGTCTGTAGTCACCGTCTTTGTCAACATATCTGCCGGATTTTGAGCTCCACTGATCTTTTCAAGTTTCAAAATCTCATCTTCCAGAAGAGACCGGATAAAATGATATCGCAATTGTATGTGCTTTGTCCTGGAATGAAAAGACGGATTCTTTGCTAGATGTATAGCACTTTGACTCTCGCAATACAAGACATTGTTTTCTTGTTTCTTGCCTAACTCTTCCAAGAAACTTTGGAGCCAAACCATCTCCTTGCTAGCTTCCGTAATAGCGACATATTCTGCTTCAGTTGTGGATAAAGCAACTATCTTCTGTAGTTGAGAAACCCAACTCACCGCGGTTCCTCTTAGAGTATAGACATACCCTGTAGTACTCCTTCTAATGTCAACATTTCCGGCTAAGTCAGCATCTACATAGCCTGTCAGTATCATATCTCCACCTTTGAAACAAAGTGCTTTGTTTGTGGTACCCCGTAGATATCTAAGGATCCATTTGACTACTTCCCAGTGTACCTTGCCCGGATTATTCATGTACCTGCTAACAGCTCCCACTGCTTGAGCAATATTTGGTCTGGTACAAACCATGGCATACATCAGACTTCCAATCGTTGAGGCGTACGACACCTTCACCATGTGTGCACGTTCTTCCTCCGTCTTTGGTGACTGTTCTTTGGAGAGTCTGAAATGAACACCTAAAGGTGTACTTACTGGTTTAGCATCTTGCATGTTGAACCTGGAGAGTACTTTGTTGATGTACTCAGCCTGTATAATATCAAAGTCCCTGACTTTGTGTCTCTCTTGATCCTCATCCCAAGAATCTGCTTTGCAGCTCCCAGATCCTTCATAGCAAACTGCTTTGACAATTTTTGCTTCAAGTTTATAATCTCTTGCATGTCTGAGCCTGCAACGAGCATGTCATCAACGTACAACAATAAAATAATGAAGCTATTGTCGAACCTCTTGATGTAGCAACAATGACCTGCTTGGCATCTGGTAAAACCACTACTACTCATGAAACTATCAAACTTCTTGTACCACTGTCTAGGAGCTTGTTTTAAACCATACAAGCTCTTCTTCAACCTGCATATTTTCTTGTCTGCCTCTATGAAGCCTTCTGGCTGCCTCATATAGATTTCTTCCTCCAAATCACTGTGAAGGAAAGCTGTCTTTACATCTAACTGCTCAAGATGTAAATTCTCTGCAGCTACAATTTTCAACACCAGTCTGATTGTAGACAGTTTCACGACTGGAGAGAAAATTTCATTGTAGTCAATACCTTATTTTTGCTGAAAACCTTTGACAACCAATCTTGCTTTGTAGTGTTTTCTCCCATCGTGCTCTTCTTTGATCCTGTAAATCCACTTGTTGTGACGCGCTTTCTTGCCTGGTGGTAATTCAGCTAATTCCCACGTCTGATTTGACAAAAGTGAGTCCATCTCATCTTTCATGGAAGACTCCCACTTGACTGAATCCTCCACTTGCATTGCTTCATCATAGCACTCTGGTTCACCATTGTCAGTCAGCAACAAGTAGTGCAAAGAAGGAGAATACCGTTGGGTTGGTTTAGGAATTCTGGAGGAGCGTCTTAGTTCCGGTGTGCCTGGTTCTTCTTGAACTGCTTCAGGACTGATCTGAACATCATTTCCAGAAATCTCCTCAAACTCAGCAAATTCCTTTGTTTCAGCTTTGGTATTGGAGCTGCTTGATTCTACAGTTGACCTGTCTTTGTACATCACATTCTCATTGAAAATGACATCTCTGCTTCTAATGATCTTCTGATTTTCATAGTCTCAAAACCGGTAACCGAACTCATCACCACCGTAACCAACAAAGGCACATTTGTTGGACTTAGCATCAAGTTTACTTCTTTCAGCAGAGTCTATGTGTACATAAGAAATACAACCAAACACTCTTAAGTGTGAAAGGTTTATTTCTTTCTTGCTCCAAACTTCCTCTGATATTCTGCCATCCAAAGGAACTGAGGGCCCACGGTTGATCAGGTAAGCTGCAGTGTTAATAGCTTCAACCCATAGAAATTTGGGCAATCCGGCATGTATCCTCATGCTTCTGGCACGTTCATTCAGAGTTCTGTTCATGCACTCTGCTACGCCATTCTGCTGCGGTGTCATGGGAACTGTTGTCTCCATCTTGATCCCATTGTTTGCGCAAAAATCTCTGAATCTCCTATTTCTGTACTCTCCTCCATTGTCAGACCTCAAC